AAAATCAAGAAGATTCTAATGTTTCGTTATTTCGGCAAATTTTGGGAATTGGTTTGGAGCGAGGCTTTTTCAGCATCTCCACGTATAGCCACGTATGTAATCCATTTTTTAATGACGCAAAGCCTATTGAAATCGAATGAACTTTTATATAGGTTATTTTTTCCTCGCAAGGCAGGCACCAATTTTAATAAAATAATATAGTAATTCAAAGGCTGATACAGACTGTTTGTACATAACCCTTAAAGAAGGTGGAAATGATCTTATTCAGTTAGAATTGTCATACAAAACAACAACTATTGTCTTCCTAACATACATAGAAACAACAAAGGATTGGATGATACGATAATAATTGTAAAAAATATTCAACTACGAAAGAAAGTTGTAAATACAAAAGAGATTTACATTTATTAGGTTCTGTAAAAAACTAAAGCAGAACCTAAGAACCAATTTTTGCAGCAGAAATTATGAAAAAGAAAGCCAAAGATAAAGCTCTTTAACAACGGTGGCAAGACAATCCTCTGAATGGCCAATATCCAGAACGAGGCTAATAAAGCCGATGTTGATAAAGTTAACACTTATCAATGGTTAGGAATATCAGGCTGAAACGAAAGGCTTTATTCTTGCAGCACAAGACTGGGAGTTTTTTCATCATACATAATTGTGTAGATCCCAAATTCTGGTTATGTGACAAATATCAGGAAACCATAGACCATCTAATCTCAGGATGTTCTGTAGTTGCGCCAAATGAATATAACAATCGTCTGGATAGTGTGAAGCAATATTTACACTGGACAATATATACAAACACTCTGGAAAAAATGGTAACATGGTATGAACATCACCCAACACCGGTTACAGAAACAGAAGACATCACAATTGTATGGAATCGCACTATCTTTACAAACAGGCAGATTGAAGCAAATAGGCCGGACATAATATTGTCAAAAACCGAAAAGAAAAAGTTTACCTACTCATTGATATGGCTTGCCCAGGGGATTATAACATAGCAACCAAAGAATTTGAAAAACTATCGAAGTATAAAGACCTGGAAATCGAAATAGAAAAAAATGTGGAAATTGAAAACAAGAATAGTATCAGTGATAAGTGCGCTTGGAATTATTAAAAAGGAACACAACAACACATTGAAAAATCCCTGGAAATCACAGCTTAAGAGAAATTCAAAGAAGTACAGCCCGCACACTAAGAAATTTGTCCATGTAACGCTAGTGATGTTATGGGAGTTAGAAAAAGAAATCATGAAATGTAGCTATAACAGCACATATCTACCTGCCTTAGGTCTTCCCGCAGACTTGCTAGGTAGTGTGACCATAGCAGAAATAGAAAGATAATAATAATAATAATAATAATAATAATAAACAGAGTGATAAAAAGTGGTTGTGAAATTGTTTGGCCTTTGGCACGATACGCCGGAGAACAACAGCAAAAACATGATCATTTCTAAAAAAGGACTTTGCATGTGTTAAATTAAATAAATCAGATAATATCGGTAGTAGAACAAATGAATGGGCAGTTAAAATGTGCATACTCGAACACACACACACACACGCGCGTGTGCGCGCTCACGCAGACACACACACACACGCGCTTTATTGATCCCCATATTTTGACGCCATTGAATTTTTACTGAAAATAAAAAGATATTATTAATGTGGCAAATAAACTGTAATCAGCGCCATAACATAATTGGAATTACTTGACCTGCTTGATTCTATGATAATATAACCCCGGATACCTTTTCCTGCTTGACACCCACAAAGAATGCACTTTCAATGTCTTGCATGACTGTCAACTATGTACAAGTGAAGCATTTAGAAATGTGGTTAGATATTTAAAGAATAAAATTTTATATTTCATTTGAAATATTTTTTTTTCATTTTCTCATTATATTTATAGCAAAAAGATAAAATCCGAAACGCCTGTCAGACTTGATGAGAATGATAATAATTTATTAAGATTAAAATATCAGTAATGGGAGAAGAAAATCAAACGAAAAGCAAAATTAACGGCGTAATGAACCTGAAAACCAAAACGGGAAGCAAAACTCTTATCAGGCCAATACCCATTGCGAGTAGAAGACCATGATATGCACAAAATATCAGACCTATCCGTAGCTGTGGACCTATTGATTGAAAAAATAAACAGAAGTGTTTATATAGCATTTCAGGATATATTTAACAAGATTTAACCAGGTTTTATGGGAGTGTGTACAGAAAATACACTTTGCATTTAATGTAATATCTAGCTGTTCTACCCTAATACAGTGTAACCCGGATATAAGAGACCCGGATATAAAAGAAACCCGGATATAAAAGAAACCCGGATATAAAAGAAACCCGGATATAAAAGAAACCCGGATATAAGAGAGATTTTCTCTGGTCCCAAGTTAGAGCCTGTGTTAATGTATATAAAATAGACCAAACCCGGATATAAGAGGAACCCGGATATAAGAGACTTCTTCTCCGGTCCCGACAACTCTCTTATATCCGGGTTACACTGTACCAAAATAATTTAAAATTAGACATGATAGGGTAGATAAATACATTTGAAAGTTACCTCATTCAGAAAAATAATATGATAAAAAAAAAAAAAAAAAAAAAAAAAAAAACAGTTCTGGAATGAGATGTCGTTAAATGCTTAAAATAATATTGTGATAATGATTAATGCTCACATAGTTAAAAAAAAAAAAAAAAAAAAAGTAGAAAAACTCAATAACTTTATATGAAAAATCTGCATATACCTTCGGTCTCAGGTGAAAGACTTGATAAATAATTGCGTCAAAATAAAAGAGAAATATACAACAATAATATTATTAATGGAGTGTTAATTGTTGTTGTTATAAAAACAATAACGCAACACCTTCAGTCTGAAAGGAAAAATGATTTACTTTACCTGGTTACCATCTTTGCTTTTTACCAAATAAATATAAAAAGGTAAACAGATTAAAAAAATCTTTAGCACACAAAGAAAGAAAAACAAAAAACATAAAAACAAAAAAAGACACTCGTATTTTGTTTTAGTCTTTAAAAATACATATTTACAATTTATCTTAGGTAAGGAGGTGTATGAACATTAGAGCCGTAGAAAATTAATTTACAAAATGTAACGTTAATTATTTGTTTAATTAGTTTTTATGGATTTGTGTATAACTATAATAATTTCATAACCACTAAAAACAATTCAATTTTTACGACACTGCATTTGCTAATAGAAGATTTAAACCAATTTGTTTCTTTAGCGGCATATCAACACTTTATGGGTCATTTTAATGCTGAAATTTAATTTTCTTGGGAGCATTAGTAATTTCTTTTAAAAAAACGTATTGCTGGTATTTTTTATGAAAATATATTGCTAGTATTTTTACTATAAAAATCTATAGTGTTTGACCCCAGATTGGGGGTTAACTATTTGCCCATAGCTAGTACCCTAACAAATGTTATCACCCCGGGTCAGGGTGGACATGGGAAGAACAGTAATTAAAAGGTGGTTCCATGCTCCTCAAAATCTCCCGATCAGAGGCCTTGCTGCCAAATGTAGTTTATCGTCATACCCAGGACGTTTAAACCAATTTAATGATATCATGAATATCCATAGTTGTGGAAGCAAAATCTATTTAATGCATGCAGTATTTACCTTTTCAGTGGATTCTATTCATATAGCCAAATGCAATTTATTTATTTCAAGTACGTTAGAGATATCCACCTGAAATAATGATTACAATTAGCTTGAGAATCGAAACCATTCATTGATCACAAGAGGCCTTCATGCAAAAAAAAAAAAAAAAAAAAAAGAATACTTTACACATCATGTCATGAAATAAATTAAACGATATTTTTACTCGGATTTAGTTAATTTGTCAATTTCTAATTTTTCCTCTTTATGAAAATAATATAATATGTCTTTCATTCCACCGTTTTGGTCAATCGTTATTTTATTTTTTACAAAAGCAGCCGATATCTTTGTGAAAATATCAGACGCATTGTCATGAGCTACAACAATCTAAATAATTGATTATGGCAACATAACCAATTGTTAGATGATTGTTCATAGATCTTGATATCACTTTTCGTACGTGTGGCATGTAGTACATGGTTTTATGCATTTATATATGCGTATAAGAGTGTATGTATAACATGAAAATGCATGTAAGTGCATTAATTCCAACGTTTACACTATTAATGTTGGTTCTGCATCACTGAAATAAAAAAAGATAAGTAATAATATCTAAGCGAAAATATCCATACAGTCTAAAATAATATCATGAAAAATAATTTACAAACCGCCTCTTTTACAATGATCGTCATCGTGTTTCGTTCGTATGTGTTGGATTGTATGTCTTACACATGCATCCATAGATTGAATGAAATTGTAGTGTGAATGCCAAAAGGAAAAGTGATAAAATGGAATTAATTTTCACTCAATACAAATCTGGACTTCAATACCACGGTACTACTTTCAACAGGGTAATTGCCAAATCGCTCAAACAAAACGAGGCGGTACACGGTGTGTAACACCATTTCAAAATGTGCAAGTGTACACAAATCTCTCTGTAGTTGAATAGATTTTGTTCTAGATTTCATGAAAGAAACAAAAAGGCTGAATGAAATTGGTTTTAGGAGTTGAAAGACTTGTTTATGTGTCATTGTCGAAGATGCTGTCTTCAATGTTTACGCTGGCTTACGCTGGCTGTGAAATAATCAAGTTCATCCATGAAAATAAATTGTAGAGATTAATATCCAACTGAATGTGTATTTACGTTCACGCGCACGTGTGTGTATGTGTGTGCACGCAAATTTGCATGTGTATGTACGTGCACATGTGTGTGTAAGTAAGTATGCCTATTTACACCCCCCCACACACATATATATACGCATGTATGTATATGTATTTGTGTGCGCGCATATACATACGTGTAGATACGCGTATTAACGTGCACGTGTGTGTAGGTATATAAACGTGTCTGTGTATATATTTGCATGTACGTTCCGGTGTGTGTGTGTGTGTGTGTGTGTGGGTGGGTGAGATAGATAGATAGATAGATAGATAGATAGATAGATAGAGAGAGAGAGAGAGAGAGAGAGAGAGAGAGACTAATAAATGCGAAGCAAGGGTCATACCAAACTGACCTTTTGATGCCAGTGTTCCCCTTTATGTTCCCACACCCAGTAGCCGAGTGAAATGAAAAGTCCGCGAAAAGAAGTAAGAAAGGTGATCGTATAGATGAGACCCAATAAGTTAGGAACGTTGTCGCTTTTCTGGGCTAAATGAGCCAATAAAATTGCCGTAGTTAGTGACATCGACATCATGACAATATACGTGAAACAGGCAATGGTACTCCGCCTAATAGTTTCCATTTCTGTAATGTCCCGCATGTGACCTGTGTCGTGCATAATCCAAGTGGTGTACAACAAAAAGCCGATTCCAAGTAGTAATCCCCAAACACGTGGTAGCTCTAGTATCCAAGCGCTCTGTTGGAAACGGTAACCATACCAACAGGTGGCGTCGTTAGTAGCAGCCTGCACAGCCAACCACTCTGCTAGAGTGATGATGGGTACTCCCCAACCGAGTGCCGAATAGAGAACCTGAACTTTGTAAGGGTCATACTGCTTGGCCTCCAGGTAACATAGGTGTCCGTGCAGCGTGATCCAGATGTAAGTTGAAAGTTCAGCGAATTCGACGATCACAACGAAGATTTCACACAAATGTGGTATATCGAACATAGTGATCACTAGGCCTTCACCGATCCAGACCATCAAAAGTATAATCTGAAATGAGAGCTTAACAGATGCTTCGATGACCAAAGTGGCAAGCAGATTCTTGTAGACACTTATTCTGGCTCCTTTGTAATCCTTATAACGCATATAAGCCAAAGTAAGAAAAACTGCCAGTAGAGAGAAAGACAGGCCACAAATACCGAGAATACTGGAATGGGTAATGTCTTCTGATGAAGCTTTCCGGATATTTTCAGAGTCGAACTGAAAAATAAGTTCAGCTTCCGAACGGTAGCACTGAGTGTAATTCGTCCATGGGCCGCCGGCGTTCGCCCACTTTGGACTCCATTTTCCATCATGTCCACAAGTGCGGTAAGCAAACTTATTCGTATCTGAACCATCCACAGAGGGACAGCGTTGACTGGCAGTTGTACCAGCTTTAGTAGGTGGCCAGCATAAGGCATTATCACTTGTTACATTACAGAAGATATCCTTGGAGTCGAAGTGGGAAAGTTGCGAGCCGAGCTTTTTGATGCAATCCTCCAGGGTCAGTCCTTGCGTTAAAGTTTGGCTACGAGAGGAAGACGGCATCTCGATGTGCAGTTTCTTTTAAATATATTCCTTATTTCTGTAAAAGATTTTCGATGTATTTAGATTTAATATCCAGGACATTGAGAAAGAATAAAATCAACAGGAAGAAAAGAAAAATGTTGATCTTAAATGTACCCCCTTAATTTTGGGGATAAGTGCCACCTCAGGGGTGCCCACTTGTTTTGTAGTGTAAGAAATTCAGTCGTCAACACAAACACATTTGTGCTGGTATACTCTCTCCCTAAAAGCCCTAAAATCAGAAGTTTTCAATCGAGCCAACCACCAATGCACGGTCTTAGAATAAAAAAGAAAGAAAAAAGAAAAAGAAAACAACTAGAAAGAAAGAAAGAAAGAAAGAAAGAAAGAAAGAAAGAAAGAAAGAAAGAAAAACAAGAGAGCAGCTGTTTTCACAAATGTGGATGGGTGGTTGGCAGACTGGCTGTTTCCCTCGAGTCGTGCTGGTAGGTGGGGTCGTTGTTAAGGAAGGGCAGTGGCTATAGTGGGGTTTGTTGCACGACTGTACAACACAAGAGAAGCAACAGGAGGAGATGGAAGAAAGTGAGGCTTATATTTCATTGCGACAAACGGCCTTTCTTTCTCTTCCTTATTTAACTTTTTTCCCCTTATACATTTGACACCATTATACGCAATTCTTAGAAGCTTTTTAATTTTTTAAAGTAAGATTCAAAGAGGGTGTGGGAATAAAGTGGCACCTTTTCTTTTAACGGTTGTATTTTTTCTTCCGTTTTTTTTTTTTAAATGCATTTTGCTTAATTTTTTTGCGTTTTTCAACAAGTCTTCATTTCTCTACCCTTTTTTTTTTTTTTTTTAATATTCTGTAATCCTTTTTTATTGTTCATACTTTGTTTCCCTTTCCTGTTGTTTCCCTTTCCTGTTGTTTCCCTTTCCTGTTGTTTCCCCTATAATATTTTTCTTTATTTAGGCACTTTGTCGTGGTGTAAATGATCAATTATGATTGATGAAAAGCGAGTTCAATCTGCACTGGGTTCTCCACAGTTTCGGCCTTGTGCCACATGTAAGCTGCGCTTAGAAAATCATTTGGGCACTTCGACATGGCATAATGCTTAGCAAGCTTGTCTCGCTCGATCAATTACGACTGAATAGTGAGTTGGATCCTCACTGGGTGCCCCATACATTCGGCCTTGTGCCACATCTAAGCTGCGTTTAGAAAATCATTTGGGCACTTCGACGTGGCATAATGGTTAACAAGCTTGTCTCGCTCGATCAATTACGACTGAATAGTGAGTTGGATTCTCACTGGGTGCCCCATAGAAAAAGGCCACCTCGGCTTGGTGTAATGGTTAGCGAGCTTGTCTTGCTATTACAATTGAGTGCTGAGTTCGATCTTCACTGGGTGCCCTATACTTTCGGCCTTGTGCCACATCTAAGTTACGCTTAGAAAACCAGCATTACTTTTCTTCCTCTTTTTATCACGGTCTCTTTTATTTATTTCCTTTTATTCCGTTTTTATTATTTTCTCTTTTTCGTTCATCTTTTTTAATTTCACCATATTCTGATCTAAAATCTCTACTCGCCATTCTGTTTTGGCCACCTTTTAAATTTGCCTGTATTTTTCATTTTTTTTTCTAAATGTGTTCTCCTTTTACCTCTTTTTTTGTTTATTTTCTTTGCTTTTGCTATGTTTATTTCTTCTTTTTTTTTTAATGATTTCTTTTTCTCTCTATCCTTCTTTCTTTATTTTATTTCTTTTTCGTTTGCTTTCCCTTATCTTCTCACATATTTTCCCTTTCTTTCATCGTTTTTCTTGATTTCCAGTTATGTTTGTGCGACGGTCCCACGGTTTTTCAACTTCCCCACCTCGTCTGTTTTCCTATCTTTTCCCTCCTAAATTTACACCAACTGCTTGCCTAGATATTTAATCCGTAATCATTGTGGATCAGCGACACTGTTCAGTCGATGTACAAAACAAGAATTTGTCCTAACCTCTTCGTTAGTTCACTTGTTTGTTATTTTATTTGGGCCTTAGTCTCTTCGGCTATTCTTCTTATCTTAGTTATTTTTCTTAACTTACTTTTTCATTCCCCCATTCATTGATTTATTCATTTTCTTTCATGGCTTGCATTTTTTAAAAACTCCCATCTCGTTAACGGTTAACACCCCACATCAATTTCACAGTTTTTAATCACTTTTTCTCATTTTGGATATTTACTTCTCTGACTTTGGAGATATTTCTCTTCTTAAAAATGACTCTTTTTTCTTCGATGCTTTTGATTATTTTTACGTATTTCTTTCTTTCATGTTTCCTTTTTTTCCCTTTCATGTTGCTTTTTCCTTCCCCTTTCTCTTCTTTGTCCTTTTCTAGAACTTAATTCTTTACTCGGTATTTTTCTTCTTGTCTTCAACTACGTTTCACTTCCATCTTCTTGTTTGTTTCCCTTTTTTTTATAGGTTATCTTGAACATTGCTTTTATTCTCTTTTCTTCCTTCCGTTTTTCTCATCTCTTCATTTCATTTTAGTTTCTAGCTTCTACCAAATAAAATCCATCCTTCCTATCTATCTCTTCCAGTGGTTCTCAACCTTTTCTACGCCTCGCACCCCAAGAAAACGTATAATATGATCTCGCCCCCCCATATATATATATATATATATATATATATATATATATATATATATTATATCAGCCACAAAAATCATTCATACATAAAACAGATATAGAAGTTAATGATATAAATGGCGAGAATACATCTTCATAAACAAATTTAATAAAAGATTAACTCGAACCAGTAGATGAATGTTATGATCCCTGTTTATAAATTCCAGTTGCATAAGGTCTTTTTTTAGTTTTTTACAAGCTTTCATCTGTTCATACAGACATCATCAGGTATGGAAATAGATTTGTTTTTGTTTTTTACTTTCCATATCTGATGATGTCTGTATGAACAGATGAAAGATTGTAAAAAAACTAAAAAAAAGACCTTATGCAACTGGAATTTATAAACAAGGATCATAACATTCATCTACAGGTTCGGGGTTAATGTACTTTATTAAATTTGTTTGCGAAGATGTATTCTCGCCATTTATATCATTACCTTCTATATCTGTTTTATGTATGAATGATTCATGTAATGTAAATTGAACTGCACCACATACTTGATATATATATATATATATATATATATATATATACACACAAAAGTAATATCTCATATGAAGATGAAGAAGGCAATTTAATCTCAATTTGGGCAACAAATTTATTTAAGCTAATTTTTGAATGATATGAAATGGAAGAAAAAAAAACGCTGCAACAAACTTAAATACAAACAAATAGTACAAAAGAAACTAAGCTTTTCATTCAACATAAGTGTAATTTAAACAATTTCAAAAAATAAAATTTGACATTAAGAAATTCACATCAAAAACTGTAAAATTTAAATCTAATGACTTTTATGTTCCTGTTTCTTGGATATGATTTTGTCAGAACGTGGTACTTTGTTGCTGATAGTGATCAGCATGTCTGCCTGTGGATTCGTGTGATTTCTAGATTTTGTCTTGATTGACAAAAGAGAACTAAATCCAGATTCACATAATTATGTGGTCGCAAATGAGATAAGGACACCAAGTGCTTTTTCATAAAGTCTTGGAAACATATTTATTGCTGAACAGCAATACTCTCCCAAAGACTTGATTTCAAATTGCATTTCATGAGCACAATTTGTCCGTAAATCAATAAGATCTTTCTTCAGATTGTCATCATCGGACATATCCAAATTGTAGGCGTATGGATTCATGATCTTGAAATCTTCAGTTCTCCAGCTGCAAAATACCCATCAAATGATTTTGACAGCATTTCCAAATGAGCCACAATATCTTCACGCACAGCAGGGATTAGAGATCCATTATCATCAACAACTTCTTCAAGTGATTGAAAATTTGAAAGATTACCTTTTTCCATCTGTTCACGCCAAAGAGGTAACTTTTCTTTGAAAGCTTTCAACTTTTCGCAACATTTAAATATATTCATATCTTTTCCACGAAACACGAGACACTTAATTCATTCATACGAGTGAAAATGTCAGCAAAATAAGCCAGCATTTGCATGAAATTTTGTGATTCTAATTCACCAACCAGATCATAGTTACGTTCCTCCATAAAAACTTTGATTTCTTCCCGCAGTTCGATAAAGCGGGTTAAAGTTTACCCTCGTAAGAGCCAGCAGACTTCTGTGTGAAAAAGCAAAACTATATATTCATTTCCCAGATCTTCACAAAACAAACTTAAAGATGCAGTAGTTTAGAGCACAACCCCTAATTCATTTGATGATCTTTACACAAGTGTCGAGTACTTTTTTCAACCTTGGAGGTAATGTTTTTGCTGCCAAAGCATAACGATGAAGGAAACAGTGGGTGACTTGCAAATGCAGAATCTCCCTCTTCATCAGTGCAGAAAATCCAGATTCATTCCCCAGCATCGCAGGAGCACCATCAGTGCACACAGAACCAATAGTTTGGATATCTAAATCATGTTTGGCAAAGAAAACTTTCACAAACTGATACACATCTTTTCCTTGTTTTCAGATCTTCATAAAACAGGAAATCTTCTTTCACAATACCATCATTAACATACTTAACCAATGCAATGAGTTGACTGCAGTTTGATACATCAATTGATTCATCCAACTGGAGAGAGATTTTCAAAGAACTAGACCTGACATCTGAGATAACTTGATCCAAAATATCATCACTCAAATCACCAATTCGATTATGAATGGCATTATTTGATAGAGCCACGAATGCAGGCTTTTTTCTTGCTTCTTGGCCTAGAACAGTTGTTACCATTTCTAATGCACACAGTTTGGTCAGATCTTCAGCAATTGTATGCGACTTCTTGGACTTGGCTACTTTATATGCCACTTGGTATGAAGCCAGCAACAGTGTTTTGTCAACAGAAACAAAACCTAATCTTGGAAGGTTTTCTGGAGATTAAAAACGTGCTCTTTTAGTTTTCAGTGATTCAAAATCATGGCCTTCAACAGCACCTTCACTGTGTTTATTGCTGAAGAGCTCTTGCAATTTTGAAGGCTTCATATTTGCATTGGAAAACACAGCATTACAAAGTATGCACTGGGGTTTTGGCAATTCATCATTTCCCGTGCAAGTGAAACCAAAGCGCACATAGTCATTATTGCATTTTCCCTTTTTTTGACATGATGAAAGTTTAATAATATAAAAGAGATTGGAAAGATGAATAACTCATGAATGTAATAACCAACTTCAGTATAATTACCAATGTAATAACCAATATAATAGAATCCGGCACCAATCAAATTTGGATTATAGAAATAACTAGCAGTACATCCCGGCGTTGCCCGGGGATGTAACAGTAAGAGATAGATCAAGTATCGACCATCATAAAGACTGAAAAATAAAATTGACAAAGATTATTGTTTAAGGTTGACGGACACGCATGTCTTAATTAGTTTTTTGTTTTTTGTTTTTGTTTTTTTTTACGAATTGGTCAAACTCAAACAAAAGTATTCTTTTCAATCGTTATGAGTCTACCGATTGAATAGAATTTTATTATAAACAATTGTCTTGTAAATGGAATTTTTAAAGCATTCTGAAAGTAAAAATAAAGAAAAAAGTGTGCAAGACAATAAAAAACACTACCTGCCAAAAAAAGGGAAGTTTTGTTGAAATCGGTTGAAAAATGTAGGAAATCCGTTCCCATATATAAACGAACACACACACACACACACACACACACACACACACACACACACACACACACACACACACAACCTGGGTTTTATAATAAGTATAACTCGATATGAGTTTTCCCCCTTTCATTCTCGACAGCGATGCCTCTTAATCATGTTTTCAAATTGATTTCGTGCAAAAACAATTGTGTTTTTCCAATTTTTGGCGCTGTCAGAACCGCAGCAAGGTAATTTTACGTAGTAATGTGAAGTTTTGTTGAAATCGGTTGAAAAATGTAGGAAATCCGATCCAATATATAAACGAAACAGACACACACACAACCTGGGTTTTATAATAAGTATGATTCTAAACTTAATGAAGTAAAGAAATAAGAGTCTCGTCCATTTGGTAACCCGACTATAAACAGGAAGCAGCGCCGACTATTTCCGGTTGGTAATTTGAATGTTATCTATATTATCTGTTACACTGGCTAATTTAACAAAAAAAAAAAAAAAAGAGTCGTTTTCTCTTCTGCTATTGTTAAAATGGTTAAAGGTATCAGCAAAAAAATAAACAAATAAATTTGAATGATTAATGTTTGAATGATTAAAGTTTAAACATTTCAATTTATTTATTTTTTTTCTTAAATTGCCAAATCCAAGTTTTCGCACCCCCATAAAAGGTTATCAAGCACCCCCGGTTAAGAACCACTGGTAGACGATATTTCCTTCCATTTTCTACGCGTACCTCCATGTTTTTTCTTTTCACATGTTATATAACTTTCTTTCTTTCTTTCTTTCTTTCTTTCTTTCTTTCTTTCTTTCTTTCTTTCAGCCTCGGTTATTCCCAGCTGTCAATTTTGATGTTACTCATTTCCTTTTTGTTGTTTTTTATTGTCTCAGTTCGAATAAGTAAGATTTAAAATTCTTCCGACGTAATACAAGAAACACCCTCCAAATGGAAATAATTCCTGTGATTTCCAATATTGTTGATAGACTAAATTTAACTTATCCACAAATAGCAGAATTGTTAATTAAAATATAAAAATAAGAAAATAATTAAAGTAACAGTCAAATCAAATATGAGTTCGGTTTATCGAGCAAAGCGCAAAATTTTTTTTCTCTTTTTTTGTCTGTTATTGTACCAGGTTCAAAGAACAAAAGTGATTTAACTACTACTACTACTACTAATAATAATAATAATAATAAGATTGGACAACAAGACCAGAAAAATGCTTACCTGAAATCAGATGCTGATAGGCTGTATGTACCAAGAGCTTTATTAGGCCGAGGTCTAATCTAACTTGAACACTAAAACTACAACAATTGGATTGGAAGCCTACCTCACAAAAAACAATGACCCTTAGCTACAAATAATAAAACACCAAATCCACTCAACAACAAAGAAGCTGCATTTTTCAGCAACCGGCTTAATATACCTGAAATCCTAAAAACAAAAAAACAAAGTGAATGCCATCTATGCCAAACGAGTAAAGCAGAAAGCAAAACAACTTGGCCAAATAAAGTTACAAAAAAACTGGGGAGACAAGACATTGCATGACAAATGCATAAAATGAACGAAAGATGCAGATGTGAACCAACAAAAAAAAAAAAAAAACATTCGTGGCCGAGGAGCACCGGACTGAAAACTGAGACAGAAGGCCTAATTATTGCAGCTCAAGACCAAAGCCTCGCAGGCAGATCCTATCACTGTCACATAATCAAGGATGGAAGAACTAACCGGAAATGCAGGACCTGCAGAAAATATGATGAAACTGTCGACAATATTAGCTCAGGATGTCCGGAACTGGCAAAAAATGAATATACCCACATACATACGAAGGTAGCGGCGTATGTACACGGAAAGATATGCAAGAAGCACAAAATCGAAACCACTAAGAGATGATATGAATACCAGCCATACAGTTACCTAAAATAACGATGTAACTATACTCTGGGACATTTAATTTGAAACTGACAGGGAAATAAAACTCAACAGACCTGATATTGCCATAAAATACAAGAAATTCAAGAACTGTATGCTTATTGACATAGCAGTACCATTTGAGAGAAACACCTCCATAAAAGTTATCGAGAACTTATCCAAAACAATGACCTGGAGATCGACATTAATAAGATGTGGGGAATGAAGACAGAGACCGTACCAATACTAATCGGAGCTCTGGGCCTCGTGAGAAAAGGACAATTTTACTAACAGTGTACCAATATCAACATACAAGTTGCCCAGAAGATCGGCCTACTAGGAACTACTTCTCATATATAAAGGAAAGTGCTATCAATTAAATGATATTGCTCCTATATGACCTATAGTTTGAACTCGGCTCTACTGGAAACATAACATATACAAATAATAATAATAATAATAATAATAATAGTAATAATATATTATCACATTCACGAAACATAAATGAAAAATGTTCTGTGAGTTTCAAATATTTTCATGTTTTGTAATATATATATATATATATATATATATATATATATATATATATTTTTTCTATATATTATATATATATGTTTTGTAATATATATATATATTGTGTAATATATATGTATGTTTTTATTACATATATATGTTTTGTAATATATATATATATATATATATATGTTTTGTTATATATGTTTTGTTATATATATATACGTTTGGTAATATATATATATATATATATATGTTGGGAATATATATATATATATATATATATATATATATATATGAAACGGTACAAGGCAATATGACTTTCCCTGAATTTAGGTAATAATGGCACAAGTGGGAAAATAGGAATAAATGGTTCAAACGAAGGTTCAGTTGTTCTGGAGCTGTGAAGCACACCATTGATATCAGAAGAGCAGAGTCTCGATCGTGGAGGTAGACCGTCCCTGAACCCGTTTATATGGGTTCGAAGGGAATATTTTTGGCCGAGCCTACAGGCTCTGAGAACCCACGATAAACTCGGCTTTGTGCCACATACAACCCGCGGTTGGCAAATATTCTAGCTGATAACTTTTCATCTATACGGTCGAACTATCTGCCTTTGGGCAGAGAGCAACCCGGACGACGCCCTGCCGAAGGGCAGAGTCTCGTTTGGGGAAGTAGACCTACCCGATCCCGTTTATGCGGGGTTTACGGGGAATTTTTGACCGAGCCCACGTTAAATTCGGCGTTATGCCACATCTGACCGCGTGGGGCGTTTGGCAAATATACTAGCTGAAATTTTTTCAACTATACGTTTTGAACTCTCTGCCTTCGGGCAGCGAGGAACCTGGACGAGTCTATGTCGAAGGGCAGAGTTTCGTTGGGGGAGGTAGATTGACCCGATATCGTTTATGCGTGGTCTATGGGGATTTTGGGGCTGATCTTACGAGCTCGGGAACCCCACATTAAATTCGGCCTTGTGCCACATCCTACCCCGTGGGGAGGTTGGTAAATATTTCTAACTGGAATCTGTTGAGTATGACTCAGACTTACACGAGAACTACCGACCTTCCAATAGTATCACTCACTACTGGATTGACTTGCGACGACATTGTGCATAACTGTTACCTTTATTCTTATTGTACTGGTTTTTACAATAAACCTTCACTTATTATATCCACCTTGTTTTTCAAGTATATATTTCTATTAGCACGGAATATAACATGTTTATCCATTTCTGTGCAATTTAGAATATTTGTTAGATGTCTCCTAAATCATGCGCACTTTCGATATGTAGAAAAAAGAAAAACTAAAAAACAAAATTAACACACTCAAACATTTTAAACATTTCCACCAAATCAGGGAATTATCAGATGTCATTGAAATTTTCAACATTTAATCATTAATGAATAAACTTTATATTGAACCGTGTTTTTATTTTTAAGTATTGGGAAAGTTTTTTTTTCCATACGAGTGAATTTTGTATGTCAGTAATTTTTACATTTTTATAAAGCTAAACAGCAAATGTGTTATATTATTTAAAAAAAATCAATATCGACTGGGAACACATACAAAATATGGTCCGAAATTTTAAGAAAGAATTCAAGAAAACGTAAAATTATTATTTTTGTTGAGAGTTGTTGATACCTAATTTAATAAAAAAAAATATTGTATAATTTTTGGCTCCACAGGAAAAAAATATCTGATGTATAAGTGTGAAAAACTGACATCTCTCCGGAATCTATCTTGCACAAGTCTACCATTCTTCCATGCTTAGAACATTGCTGCCACATATGTTTCCCTGCTATTTACCTTGAGCTCCTTGTTAATATCAAAAAAGAACCAGCAATATTATCGGTCCTGATCTGGCGGCTCGGCTTCAGTCCACCGCCATAAGGTCGCCTCTCTGGGCCCTTTTTTTTAATAAATACTTTCATGGTAATTGTTCGGATGAGTTCTGCGCTATCGTACCTAGACTTTACGAATTTAAGCACAGTACTACACTGGCAACAAGCTCTCGTTGATTTACATTGGAGTTGGCGAGATGTAACCGTAAGTTCTATGCTAACAGTTTATTTTCTCTCACTTTTCACTTGTAGAACTCCCTCCCGCCTCCATGCTTTCCGGTCAACTTTAATCTTGATTTAAATGCGATGTCAATCGCTATCTGCTGACCTCTACTGACCTCCTGATTACTCTTTTCTCTTTCTGCTCATTACTAATGTTTTGTAACGGTGTAGGTAAGTTATGGTTGATGTAGTAATCCTGACTTGATATTATTTGAGTTTTGTTAAAGTAGTTACCCGTTGCTATATGTATTTGTAGTGTAGAAGGAATCCTTTTCTCTTTTTTTATACTGAAAACGAAATGAATTAAAACATACAACAATAATACAAACAATAAAAACATGAGACACGTGTTGACATATATAACAAGAATTTGTATTTTCTTTTTGTGATGTGAATTACAGAATGTTGGTATGGTGTGTGTAAAAATGTTCTCAGTGTGTCTTTTGTTTCAAAGTCAATGCTTATTTGGTTCCGAAAATTTCGTTTGTGAGGATGGCGTTTGACATCGTCTGTTTTCGAATTTCACTCAGTGCTGGCAAAGAAGTGTGTCTCTGTACTATTACTACTTATCTGCTAGTCTACTGTCTACTGCTATAGGGTACACTCGTCTATTCTACTTACTCCCTTGTGGTGGAAGGGTCGTTTTTATTAGGATGAGGGTAGGATGATAAAATATCATCATCATTCTGGATTATAACATCTTTTATTCCTAATTCCTCCATGACCTTTAACCCCTTGCATTCTAGTGGCTGTACTGCCTTGCCTGGGGATGATACTGATTAAAAAAGAAAAAAAAAAGAGAACGATTTAAAAACTTCTTTAGATTTTGGTTGTTGCCAATAAACTTGAAATATAAAATAAAGACGCGTTTGAAGAATCAAAATGTAAAATTTAATGCCACTTTCGAGTGGGACTATTTACAAAACATTTTTTTTTATTTTACAACTTTAAAAATGAAAATGAACAATAAAAGACATAAATGCGCTTTTCAGGGCCACCAAAATTATTGAAAGTTTTGACTAATCGACTCATGTTGATAGCATTTTTGTCTGCTTAATAAAGTTTTTGTTGTCATTATGTTAGAAATATAGAAAATAAAATGAAATTACTTGATTAAAGGGTTGTAACAAACTTGAAAAATATTTCCAGCTTGTTTTGTATTTAATCTGATTTACAGCGTGAATTTTTGAAAGTAGCAGGCGGTTTTATAAGAAAATAATTATTTGAACTTTGAATGATTAACAATATGCAATTTCAATATATTTTAAGCAAAAAGTAAATAACGTTTTTTTTTTTTTTTTTTTAAATCTAATTAATTAATCTTTAAATTTTCATTTTTTTTACTTCTTTGAAAAGATTTTAAAAGTGTTTTAATTTCTCTTTTATTGGAATCCATCAAATTAGCTAATCTGGGCGGAAGTGAATTTGTTTTTACTTAATAATGTCTAAAATTTTTAAAGAGATAAAGTATTTTTCTTTTATTATAGATTAACTTTTAGACAATTATCTCTCAAATAGAAACAAAAATTAGCTTCAAAGAAGACATTTAAATTATTTAAAATGTGTTTCTTTTTAGCTTTTTTAAAAGAAAATCTATCGCTGTTATCTGGTTATATAAAATTTCATAAGTTTTTATTGAAATAATTATTATGGAATAATATTCTTTGATTTGCTGGATAATTGTTTTGGGAATCTTAGAAACGAAGAAACCAATTTCTTCGAGAGTCATTTGCTTTTCTTAATTCATCTCTCTTGCGTTAGATATGTCATGTACGTAGATAACTAACTGTAAGTAAACCATTTCGTTTCGTCCTAGTTTCTCGACACACTGCCAACCGATCCTATACCCTTTTACACAATATTCTATTCCTTGGGAAGACCCTATATCCCACAGCATCTCCTTTCCCACATCACATTTGCTTTCATGAGGGTCCCGTTCCCAAGTGTCAACCTCATTCCCATACCTAAAGATATTGAATACTCGAACAGCCAAACATATCCCCCCCACCATACCATCACTCGAACTGACGCCACCGGCTCATTTTTCTTTTTCATTCTTTAAACATAAAATACTTTTCTAATTCCTTTTCTACCTTTTTTGTCAGTTTTCATTTTATGCGTTCATTCGGGTATCCATTTTCTACTATCTTGATTTCTATTCACCCCAGCTCCAATTTGGCCTAACAATTCTTTTAAAAAATCTTCCTTTCTTTCTTTCTTTCTTTCTTTCTTTCGTTATTTCTTTTTTACTTTCTTTCATCTGTTCTTTCTTTCTTTCAACTATTCTTTCTTTCGTTCGTTCTTTCTTTCGTTCGTTCTTTCTTTCGTTCTTTCTTTCTCTCTTTCTTTCTTTCGTTCTTTCTTTCTTTCTTTCGTTCTTTCTTTCTTTCGTTATTTTCTTTTTTTCTTGCTCTCTTTCTTTCTTTCTTTCGTTCTTTCTTTCTTTCTTTCGTTCTTTCTTTCTTTCGTTATTTCTTTTTCTTGCTCTCTTTCTTTCTTTCTTTCGTTATTTCTTTCTTTCTTTCGTTCTTTCTTTCTTTCGTTATTTCTTTCTTTCGTTATTTCTTTTTCTTGCTCTCTTTCTTTCTTTCTTTCGTTATTTCTTTCTTTCTTTCGTTCTTTCTTTCTTTCTTTCTTTCTTTCTTTCTTTCTTTCTTTCTTTCTTTTTCTTGCTCTCTTTCTTCTATTTCTGTTTTCTTTCTTTCTTTCTTTCTTTCTTTCTTTTTTCTTTCTTTCTTTCTGTTTTCTTTCTTTCTGTTTTCTTTCACTCCTTTCTCATTGCTCTGATCCATTTTTCTTTTCTTATTCTTATCACTGGACCCAGTGTATGGCCTCAAAGAATTCACAAACATGTCGGCCTCATCTAGGATCAGAACGATTATGCATTTGAGGAGCAACTGTCACAGGATACCCAGTGCCGTGTCCCGTCAGGATATGAGTGATAATAGCTCTCCACAATTTCCTATCCCTTATAGCTCTAATATTTTCCTCCTTCTTAACTCTCCCAGACACTGTTCAATTATAAGCTTGTTAGGTAGGCTTTTCACTACTTCTCCTTGTCCTTATTGATTTCATTATGTCCTGTGAGTGTTAAATTTCCCACACCTCTTTTCTCATTAACAACAACAATAACCATGAAATTTAAATTTTCACTTATGCTTTTTTCTCGCTAAAATATTAGTTTGTCAATTTTCTTCACTTGTCCTCTTTCTCTTTACTCTCTCCTTATTTTATCATCATATCATCATCATCATCATCATCATCATCATCATCATCATCATCTTCTTCTTCTTCTTCTTCTTCTTCTTCTTCTTATTATTATTATTATTATTATTATTATTATTATTATTATTTTCTTTGATTTCTGGCGTTTACACATTTCTTCCGGGTCCCGCCCAGGGACCTAAGGTTAGAAATGGCATCATGACACTTTCCACTGACAAAAAAAAAAAAAAAAAAATTACATAGATAAAGCCTTTCGTAAAGTGTGGGCTGTACTTGTCAGAACAGTTTTTTGTATCTCCTTGAGGCATGGACTTCCAGGAATCTCTTCAATTAGTCTACTGCAATCTTTTCCAACCATTATTATTATTATTATTATTATTATTATTATTATTATTATTATTATTTGAATCTTCTTTCTTCCCATCTTTCTACCTCGTCTTTACATTTTTTCTTGCGCTCTCTAATTTCTCACCTGTATGTTGACACCATTATCTCAGTCTCTCACCTTTCTCTCTCTTTCTAAGCAATTATACACTCTGCTCTTATTTTCGTCCCCTTACAATGTTTCGAATAATTCTCTCCGTCATTAATGAGTGCGAAACAGGGAAACAAAACAAAACAAAACAAAACAAATGATTATATTCCCCAAAAGGCGGTGATTAAAACGCTGCTTCAAATTGTAGAAGAAATGTTGTGTTCCGATGAGAGCTACGCAAGTGATTCAGAAACTGGTTGGGTATGTGTCGGGATTTTTTTTTTTTAAGTATTTCACCCCAAGCAAGGCGGGGTGCCACTAGCACGCAAGATGTTACAGAGAGTGAGAGCAAGAGTAAAGAGGGGGTGTTTGAGGAAAGGATAAAGAGAGGGACGGGGATCAGGATCAAGGCATCAGAAGATGTCGATTGACATTACATTTGAATATATGAAGATTATAGCTATCAGGGAAGCAAGTAAGAGGAAGGGAGTTCCCATCTCTGTCCCATAAGGATTGTTCCATTTATGTACAAATTTCATAGACTAAATGGAACAATCATTATGGGACAGACGTAGAATAATATAGAAGAATGGCTAATTTAATAATCAGATCAGAGGAGAGGGAAGATTTTTTAAGTATTTCACCCCAAACAAGGCGGGAGCGCCACTAGCACGCAAGGGATTACAAAGAGTGAGAGCAAGAATAAAGAGGGGGTGTTTGAGGAAAGGATAAACAGAAGGACGGGGATCAGGATCAAGGCATCCCAACCGATTTTGGGTCATGCCCCACTTTGGTATTTCTAAAATTCTGGTGCCCCCCCTGTAATATTTAATTCTTGCATATTCAAAATTTTGCTGCAATTCACGTGAAGTAAGCTTAAAAGGCCATTAATTTGGTCTCTAAACAATCCTTAAAAAAAAACCATGGCGTCCATGAAAAAGAAAAATTTAAAAAAAACAAACAAAAAGACAGTTAAATATATATAATTTTAAAACATATAACAGAGAACTGAAAGGCAGAAATATAAAATATTTGAATGAAAGCTTTATTCTGTAATATACTTTGATTAATTTAATCATGAAATAATAATGCATAAACGAAATTTGAGCTGACGTTGGTATGGTAAACCAAACAGTGCACATCCTACGCGTACCCCACCGAAATATTACCATGCCCCACCGGTGAGGCATGCACCCCACATAGGGAATAATTGCACTATACGAAGGATTAGATGGGCTATGCCAATGATATAGCTGGAACAAGAATGAACTTGAATAAAAATCAGCAGAAGTAGAACTCAAGATAAACCTTTTCAAAACAGAAACTATGATCTGGAATTGGAATGAAAGAAGTGATGGCGCGTACCCTGAATCCATTATAAAAATTCAGGATATGGAATTAGTAAATAAACGCTAAACACTTCAAGTACCCCTGTGTATAGATAAGTTACTTAGTATAGAAGATAAGGAAATTGAACATATGTTGTGTTAGGGTTAGTTTCGTCCCAACGTCACAAGCTGCTACGAAGCCAAAACATTAAAAACTAGCGTTCATGTTCTTAGATCGTTTCGTCAGATTGAGACTTTCATATTGATGACATGCATAACGTCAAAGCCATTCAGAAATATCAAACCTGTCGGCTGTATATTACAGCTTTCTCAGATTGATCGTTTAAAAATGGCTTCGATGGAATGAAGAGTTTAGCTTTCAGTGAGGCCTATCATTCTTGGAACCCTATAGACTGACATTACAGAATCACAAAGAACTTAACCAGATATCAAAACTCACATCACTTGAGGATTTTTAACAGCAGCATTAATTAAAATGGGTAGCAAATGTTAGTCGAAGAAAGAATGATGACATAATCAGGATGCTGAGATTCCACCTTGATTCAAACAAAAGGAAGAAAAGTCACTCCCCCGCATTAATACTGGAAAGAGCAATAACAGCTACTGGACATGAGAAACCTATTTTTCTAAAAAATTATATAAAGAAATATTTTAGAAATTTAAACCCATAGCAGCACTGACTGCTCGTTCCATGAATGCCGAATGTTTCCTTATAAGGAAACGGTTAATACTCCCATTACTGGGAATTAATCTTATTAATTAATATTACCAATACCAGCGTCTCTTCAGAGAGCGTTATGTTATCGAACTCTTTCTTTAAAGTGGAAGCGGTGAGTTGAGTTGTATTTCTGGACTAGTTCACTGAGTGTACTTTCGCAACATGTCTCTAGGTCAAGGGTAGGTAACCATTTTGAGAGTGCGTGCCAAAACAAAAAAAAATTTTCCACGTACCAAGAAATTTTTTTTTGAAACTTCAAAACTAGTATCAACTAAGTTGGAACTGGGCTTACCTGAAATAAAGTTCATAAAAGTATCAACCTGTTTTTTTGTCTTGCTCAGTTCACGAGAAATTCATTCTCTTCGTCCTCCTCGATTTAATCGTTCAATTTTTTCTGAACACTTTCAAAATGTCTCTTTACAGAAGAAGTCCGATAAAAGATTGTTTCGGAACAGAAAAATGCACCAGACCAGATATGACAATAGTATCTAAAGCACCGACGAATGGTAGATTTGTACATGTGCAAGAGAGATTCTGACGAGAAAAATTGTATGGAACGAAACAGTGACCCAGCATTCCTTGCAGTAGATGCAGATATTGATTGTAGCCACTCTGCTTCAAGACAATGGAAAACATGAAGCCAAGAAGGCTCGGTGTGTTGCTTCCTCTAGTGTCTAGCGCCAGCCATGATGTTAACAGACAGAAAAGATTCTCTATAATGGTTAACTGAAAGCAGTTTTGTTTGGGAGCTGTTCAAATTTACAAGCCATTTCTTGTCCAAGTTAACCACGAATTGGAAATCCTTTTCAAGAGCAGCAGCCATTTTGTCAGCTATATCGGAGTTGCTATTGAGAAAGGACTAAATGGTAGTCTCATCTGCATAAATACCTAGTGGGGAACAGATGACAACGGAGAGATCATTGATGAAGATCAGAAATCAGTGTAGGACCCAGGCTTGTTTTCGTATGAAATGATCTGTAAAATGAGCCCGTTCAAAACGACAATGGCAATTATTATTTAACGCTATACTATAGGACAGTGGTGGGCAAACATTTTGAGAGTGTGTGCCAAAACCGGCCAATTTTTTCCACGTGCCAACAAAACCTCAAAACTAGCAGCAATTTCTTTTGAACACTTTTGAAATGTCTCTTTACAGAAGAAGTCTTACAAATGTTTGTTTTGGAACAGAACATTCTTAAGACTTTATTGTCTTTCTTAAATCGTACCAAATTTTTTCAGTCTCGTATTCTTTAAATTCTCTAATATCTTCTTCATTTGAATGACATCATTTCTTAGCTGATGATCGTGATATTCTGCACAATCTGTAAAGGACAGAAAATAAAAATACGTGAGATAATGATAGACATGAAAGAAGAGAAAGAATAAGAGTAGGTCAAAAGGGTTTGGTTTGGTTTATTTTGTTTTACGGCATATCAACCTCAATGGATTATTTAAAGCCGACAACATTTTTAGGATAGATTCATTTGAATAGAGTATGTATTCTTTGGTTTAGATTGGTTTAGTTTATTTTGTTTTATGGCATATCAACCTCAATGGGTTATTTAATGCCAACAGCAATATTAGGAGACATTCGTATGAATAGAATATGTATTCTTTGGTTTATATTGGTTTGGTTTATTTTGGTTTACGGCATATCAACCTGAATGGGTTTTTTAATGGCGACAACATTTTTAGGATAGATTCATTTGAATAGAGTATGTATTCTTTGGTTTTAGATTGGTTTAGTTTATTTTGTTTTATGGCATATCAACCTCAATGGGTTATTTAATGCCAACAATGATATTAGGAGACCTTCGTATGAATAGAATATGTATTCTTTGGTTTATATTGGTTTGGTTTATTTTGGTTTACGGCATATCAACCTGAATGGGTTTTTTAATGGCGACAACATTTTTAGGATAGATTCATTTGAATAGAGAGTGGCACCTTGCATTATTAGAAATATTCATAGAAATATGATTTAATTTTTTCTTACTCGGTTTACTAAACAGGTTGTTGATTTTTTTTAAAACGGAAAATAATTGAGTTGAAAATAAT